ATACACTTGTCTATAGTAATTATATTGTACTCTCTCTCTCTATATCGTCTGTTCCTGTTTCCATTGAAGATGTATTACGTAAAATAGGATGCTGCACTACAGCTAAAATTAGCCTTCCTCCATTTTTTAATTTCTGTACTGAGAGGTCACGCAGTGACGTATCGATGTTCTATTGGTCACACGTCTTCAGGTGATGCGAATTCGCAGGTCAGAGTTCACCAAAGTTGAACTTTGGAACGCAGCGAAATTCAAAATTTTTCGCATGAGCTTGCGTTTCCGGTCTTACGCATTCGCATGCGTATGAATGGAAGTCAATGGAACGAAAAGTGCAGTGTGACCGCCCCTTAACGTTACATTGTTCTATTTAGCCTATTCCAGTTTGTTTTATTCTATATAAGGGAATTCATTTAATTTTATTTAGACTGTTCGTTAATTAAAATGTGTGATGCTGTTATTGAAAGAATGCTACCGTGTTCTTTATTTATTACAGTTCGTAGAACTTCGTTCATTTATTTTTCGTTCTTTTATTTAAATAGCCTAGCCTTTTTAAGGTGTCAGTAATTACTGTGCTGCTAATTTCTGATTTGGGAGTGATTTGTTTGTTAGAAAAATGTTAGGCTACCTTATTAAAAGTATTGCTCTTAACAGACCTGTGTGTTTTGTATCACTAGTGCAGTATCCGTTCTTGGAACATATAAGCCCTGCCCGTGTGAGGCGCGCCGCTTCCGGCTCACGCTGTTCTGAAGTTTATTAATTCTGAACGTGTTTGGTCCATATTGCACCAAAATGTGACACTGCACTCCCTTGGGTCCGCAGCAACACACCCACCACGAGTGAAGTCGATTGGATGAATGGTTCTCGACTAGGGATATGCCGGTATCAAATTTTCATGTTGCGATTAATTGCTAATGCTTTTATCACGGTATTCGGTATTATCACGATATTGAAATTTAGTTTTAAAAAGTGCTGTCATAATACAGTATAACAGGTTTAATAACTTTTTTCTTGTAACAAAAATAACAACATTTAAATGCACTAAAGCAATACAGAAAAATTTATAAAGTTAAAAGTTTTACACAGATTAAAATGCAAAAGAACTATAAAGACCAATAGATATCACTTTACAATAAGACATGCTACATTTGCTACATAAGTTATTAATCTTTGTTTAAAAAATACAAGTCTTAGTTCATGTTAGCTCATTAAATAACACAGTTGCAACTTTCGTTTTTAACAATGTGTTATTAAATATTGTAATTACCTAAGATTAATGAATGTTCAGAAGAATTTTTCATTGGCAGTTTGTTAACTAATGAATTAACTAATGTTAACTAATGAAGCCCTAATGTAAAGTGTGACCGAACAATAAAGAATCAAAACACTTTCAAACAATATCTAGGGCATGTTGTAGTCCAGATTAAAATGTAAAAAAAAGTTTGAAAATAAATAGCCTATTAAGTCTAAATATTTAAGTATTTGGCTCTGTGATGAACATCATAGCAAATACACAAATCTGAATGGCTGTTTAAATCATTTAAACACGATTCAGAAACCGGAAGTAGTGCAGCTGCTTTGTTTACAGGGTTTCCGGGGTAACGGCTGCATTTAAATGAATTATTATTATTATTATTATTATTTCTGCAGTTTAGCGCCATCTGCTGTCAGAGAGTGAAAGTGCGCTTTCATCCAGAGCGTCTCTGGCATGTTCCGCCATGTGCTTCTCGTCCGCGCTTGTTTACATTAGAGTGCGCACGCGTCTTTCACGCAGCATACAGCGGCGTTGTGCATTTTGACCAGTTGATGGGAAAAGTATTCTTAAAATGCATTCAAAATTCGGAATAATTTGTAATATATAATTATTCACTGTATTTAGAAGTGCCCACGATAACAATATCGTGCATATTCATTACCGTGATATATCGCATTACCGAATACCGGCACAAGTCTATTCTCGACACAATAAAAATGCAAACAGACAGACACACACACAGAGATTCCTGCTCCTTTATTAGAGAGAAGAATATGTTCAGCCCCTTCCCTCCGAAGCTTAGAATATTCGGTGTTGGTTACTACCGAAGCCTCGAAGCTCAAAAAATGGTATTCGGACCAGCCCTAATTACGGTTGATATCAGTTAGCCCATTTTAGGGTATCTGCAGGGTTACACAAATAAAATAAAATAAAATAAAATAAAATAAAATGTAACATTAAACCGTAATATGACTGTAAAAAAAAAAACATACAGGTTTTTACAAAAACAAATTTTTTATAAAATGTTATTCAAAATTTTGTGTGTTTGCTGCTTAAAAATATGGGTCGATTTTTGCACTGGTCTTAACAAAAACAGCAGACGGGCTGATTGAAAATGCAAATTCATTCTCTGCCAGTAGGTGGCGCTTATGGAAACGGCAGAAATATAGCGGTTTTCCCCAGTAACGGCAAAGTAGAACTGCACTTATAAACGCTACTTTATCAGGCATTATAAGTAGGTAAGATAAAATGAAAATGCCATCAATACTTTACTGAACACAGTCGGTTCCCTTCAGAGACACATTCATATAAACACGCTGCATTTTGACTTGAGCAGTGCTCATATTTATTCAATGAAATCATAGCCTTTTGAAATTTAATCCAGCCATATCACGATTCCTGCATGAGTTTTGGACAAATTTGTGCAACTCTATTTGTGGCAGTCAATGTTGATATTGTGGCAGGCCGCCACAAATAAATCAATGTATGGAAAACACTGAAATGACAGACGATAGAATGATAGATAGATACAATGCACTTACTGGTCTTGGATTCTCCAGACGCAACCTCAGATAAGTATCTGAAGTAATCGCCTTTCATTTTCAGGTAAAACACCTTGCTCTCTGCCTGAGAAGCATTGGGAATGAGGAACTTCTCCAAAAGACCCTGTCAAGACAGGTAGGGACCATCAGGATTTTTGGTCAAACATAGTGAAATATGGAACAACATTTGACTCTTCCACTTTTAATACTGAAATTAAGCGTTCTTTGAAAACTGAACACTAAATATTTTGTATTTAACTTCAAGTGATGTCATCATTATAAAAGGTTCAGAAGATGAAGAGAAAGAAGTGCAAATACCAGCACATCATTGCAGATGTCCTGCAGTTCAGTCTCGATCTTTTCACGATACTCGCGTGCCATCTGTTGCTTCTTCTCGTTCCCCTCGGTCTTCTGCTCGATGCTGGAGATCACACGCCAGGAGGAGCGACGGGCACCCACCACGTTCTTGTACGCCACTGAGAGCAGGTTGCGCTCTTCATTGGAGAGCTCCACGCCGCCCTCGGTAACAGCCTTCATAGCGGCTGCCATGTCATCATAGCGCTCGGCCTGCTCGGCAAGCTTGGCTTTCTGCACCAGGTCACTCTTGTCCATTTTTAGACTGAGAATCAGATACGAGTAGTTATGAGCACAATAATTCACAGAAAACCACTAAATTTTACATTTTGAAAGCACAAGACAGAAACATGTAACACACTATTGGTATTAATGGTCAAAAATTGATGATCAGCAGTAGTTAAAGGGCTGCATTGACAATAGGAATTACTGTGTCTTTAATCATTTTGATAAACTGACATCAATTCTTCAATCCCAAGATCAGTATTTTAGTCTACTCCGTTTTCATTTGATGTGCAAACCTTCTCTAAATGATATTTGTAGCGTGCCTCCCATCCAATAATTTTAATAAGCTTGTGTTGTTACTTTGGATATGGAACTGTCTCAGCTTTCAAATTTTGTAAATTTAAGCATGAAAATATTGAACATCAGAAAGTGTTGAAAGAAACAGTACAACTTACTGAAACGTATCATGTCTCAAGTAATCGCTCAATCTGTGTTTCAACCACGGAAAGACATCAATAAAGCAGCTTGTAAGCAATGTCATGTAAAGTTACATTTACACCTCAGAAAAGTCATTCAATGTCCATAAAGTCCATAGTTAGCTAGAAAAAGGAACTAAGATATTCATTATATTTTTACTTAACCTGTTAGTGATGTCTTATTTAATGTATGTTTGAATAAATCTGTCATGTAAAAAAAAGTTATGACAGCCACGTTTAGCCTAAATATTTATATTTTCAAAAAAAAAAAAAAAAAAATTTGACTACAAACATAACTATATCCTCCTGAGAACCATGAAAAAAAGTTTTGTGAATTTTGTTGTTTATGTCATTACACTGGTTGGAGCATAAGAAACAAATGTAGAAAAAACATTTTTGAAAAAAAGATACTTTATTCTATATCCGTTGTAGAGTACGCCAGGACTAAGTTATTCCAAAAAATTAAATAGACATGAAAAGTCATGAATAGCAAAAACAATTATTTATTTTTTTAACTGACCAAACAGTTTTCAGGTTTCAAACTATTTTTAACCAAACTTTGTACAAAGATGATTCTCAACTATGTTATGAAAGATATAACAGAATGATTTGATATACTACTGTACTTTATGGAATATGTGCGTAAAATGTCCTTTAATTGGTATTCCCATTCTATACAATGTCTCGATACACTGCATCTAATTTGTATATTAATGTGTTCTTGGGGCAAACCATAATGAAAAAAGAAGTGTAATAATGGAAGTAATAGCTTGGCAACATTTTCATAAGAATATCTCATATTTCATAGGAATATTGATCTATAATTTCTTTCCCTATTGATCCCAAATTGCCTGATTAACATGATGTTTGTCCTGGTGTCCTCTACAGAAGACATGCATGAAAATGATGCCCTGTTTCATAACAATAAGTCATATTCCGATTTGAAACCACATCTTTTTCAGAGTTGTTGTTTTTTTTACGACAAACAATTTGAAAATGTAGTCAGAATTAAATAATTACAAAACATTATAGTTCCCTAAGAGTGCTAAATTTGATCATACTGTCAGTATCAGTCATTTTTAAAGACCAAGGAGAGGGATTGTTTATGATCAAACCTCCAAACATTTGATATTTATTTGATATAAAACTGTGGCATGTAGAGTCTCAGAGAAATTCATTAAAATGTAATGTCCTCTACAGTGGACAAATGACTAGTTCTGATTATGATGTCTAAAAATAAATAGCAATTGATTTTAATAGTTTGCACACTTTAATATCAATGTACCAACGGAGAGGGTTCCCTGTATATTTTACGGCATTATTTGAGATATTTTTCCCTAAGAAAAACTGACATGTACTGTACCTATATATCCAAATGATTCGAAATCGGATCGAATAATGTGAATAGAAAGCTTGTGAATTGGAAACGATTAAATGTGACAAAACACAGCCCTAATAGGTTTATGATCGCATTGAGAAGAAAGTGATGAGAAAGTGTCTAAAACGTAATGCACTACCAACAGAAAACATTATGGCATCATGTTTAACAGTAACACTCACTTGTCACATTCACATTTAACGAGGCCTGCCTAGAGAGAATTTAGGGTGAGAACAGCGACTAAACAGTAGATGAAAACGTATTTTACTAAAACAAATCGAGCATTCAGGCCATTGCTAAAATAATCGGCTTTCATAATTTGTCCTTTTCCAAGTCGTGAAGTTCAGCAAATCGATTCGATTGCACGCTGTCAGAATCCGCTGATGTGAGCTAGCGCGCTAACCACACATCCTTTCACTGGAAGGACGAAATTCTCCGACAATGTGTAATGATTCTCAACCTTCTAAACAATACTGCTAACGTTATACTATGATCTAACACAAAATGCTGGCAGGGGGCTCGGATATTTCATTGTAACGATTCATCGCGTCTGACAGACACTGAGGCCTGAAGCGCTTAGCAACCTGCTAAATCCCTCCGCTGCCCGGGAGAACGGAGCACAAGATCGTTTTCGCAATGAAAGCATGTCATGTAAGACACGTGGAGAGTCATAGAATGAATAAGGGAAATACACTCACGTTATAAACGGCGTTTGCTCTGACTTTAATCGTTAAAAAGACACAAATTGGGTCCCCGTCCTCCGCGTCGCTCTTCGGTTGTTCTAGGCTAAACCTCTTCCGCTTACAGTGACACTTCCGCTTCCTGCAAACCGTTCCCACTTTCTGAAAGTTTTTCTCTTATGTAACATATATTTGATACCATGAATAACCCGTTTAGAAAATACTGACTGACTCATTAAAACAATAACTAGTTAAGCACATTTGTAGTACACAGAGGGGAGGTGAAAAAGTACAGTGGTTCATATTAACAGATTCATATTAACATTTGTGTTCTTTTGAAATTGATTAGCATTACCTTTATTTGCAAATGCCACTGTCTGCAGGTATAAGTGACACATTTCCTGCAGAAATACAGCATAGGCCAAAAGGCCAAAAGTTGTCAGCTGTTGGGGCTGAGAGACCAGCTAAAATCAGGAAACCACATTTATGAGAGTGAGGTAAGGTGTGGCAGCTTTACTTTACAGTTGTACCCAGAGATAGCAGACAGTAGAGTAATACACCTAATGCTATTTCAAGACATCTCCAATCTACTGACATTATAACAAAACATCTACGACATAAGGAAGGCCACAGAAGTACTATGTCTAAAAATAAATAAATAAATACTAGCAATCATTTTTAATAGAAAAACAAAAGTTTACAGAATTAGATATTACTCATTAGACAGAAGAAGCTACATCAGCCTCACTAAGAGAAAGATCTTTTGAATGATCAAAGGTTTGGGGTCAATAATACATTTTTTTAGATGTTTTTAAAAGAACAAAGAACTTGTATGATCATCAAGGCTCAAAAAATATATTACAATTTAAAATAATTGTTTTCTATTTTAATGTAATTTATTCTTCTGATGCAAGGCAAATGTTCAGCATCATTACTCCAGTCTTCAATGTCACATGATCTGGCAGAAATCATTCTAATATGCTGCTCATGATAGATTAATTATTATCAATGCTTAATATTTTTGTGGAAACTGCGATTTTTTTCAGGATTCTTTGATAAACAGGACGTTTAAAAGAACAACATTTATTTGAAATAGAAATCGTTTGTAACATTATAAATGTCTTCGCTGTCACATTTTATCTATTTAATGTGCCCTTGCTGCTAATAAAAATCCTATAGACCCAAACATTTGCATGCATCAATAAGCAAGAAACAAGTGCACAAAACTGAAAACTTTCATCATTTTTATAAAAAAAAAAAATCTAATTTCAAACATGCCAACAAAAATCGTTCATTTCTAAGCACTGCAAACATGCCCAAAACCTCTGCTGCTCAACGTTCTACTGAAGAAAACAGCACAATCTGTATTTGTCTGTGGAATTACATAAGAACAGTGATCTTGTATTCTAGAGTTCAGAAGAGATTCAAAGTAACACTTCTGCTGGACGTCTGGATCACCAAACACTCGCTTGGATCCAATCTGAACATTGTGAAATGACTGTCCCATAAAAACATATTTTGAGATTTGGAGATTCAGTTTTATTTTGATAAAACAAAGTCCGATATAAAAGGCTGTGGTTCATTTTCCAAAAGCATGGAAGAAGATGTTTGCCTATTTCTGGTTTCCATCCAGTAATATTACCTTTTTCTCTGAAAAACAAATACTGCTCAGAGTAAAAATTCACTAAATAGACAGAAATATGCTATGGTTATCAGATATGCTAAATGCACAAAAAATATAATATTTCTGGAGGAAGGGGGTAAAGTAAGACAAGCAAATCAGAGGCAGCCTGTTCGCAAGCCCTCTAGCTTCAGAGTCAGATTTATTAATAGAGATTACACTCAAAACCCTCCAGAGTTCACTCCAAGCCTTGGGTCACTGCGCTTCAGAGGAGAGCAGCGAGGACAGTCGTCAGCCAGAGGGGTAGAGCATCAGCCTGGGAAAGAGGCCAGAACAGGGAGCTTGAATTAGTTGGCTTTGGCTCGAAGCTGGGCTCTTTTGCCGGTGACGGCCTGGAAGCCGGTCTTGATGCTGGCTACAGAGCAACGTGAGTGACAGGTTTCACACTGCAGGAAGTAGAGACGCGTGTCCTTCTGCAGAATTGTATCCGGTGAGCGGCAGGTGTGACAAGTCACATATTCCTCTGTGAAATGCAAAGAGAAAATGCCTTGTCAAAAATTTGTATTATAAACAGTAAATGCTGAGTTTTTCACCAGTAAACCAAAAAAAGTGAGTGGACTGAACTAAACACTACCACATGTACTACACGTTAGAAAAGAGGTCACTACTTTTTTTTTTACATGAAACTAGGGCTGCACAATTAGTGCAATAATCAAGATTACAAATGCACAAATCACATGGGAAGACGTATGTGTCGTGACTCATTCGCAAATGAGGGCAAGATGATACATTATAATATTTGACTTACTTATATATCTTCTCAAGACATTCTCTATTTGTTTCTGTTGGAAGCGTCCCTTGATTACAAGCTGGTTATTTCCATCTATGGATCCACTAGAAGCAGGAAGACATTGCTTGCGTTACAGAAGAAATCACCTTTTCACATTTGACAGAATTCTGGAAATGCAATTAAAAGCTCACCATGTTCCTAACTCCGCTAATAGGAATGCCAAAAGATGTTTGGGCTGTCGATGCAACCTGAAAAATTAACATGCAAGAGTTTATTAGACAAAATTATACCAATAAACTAGAATCACTGGTTTGGTTACGTTCACATATGGGTCACTGACAAGAAAAAGTGTCCATGTTAAAGATAAGGAAAAATGTATGTATTTATTTATTTTGTTCCCCACACTTATATGTGATTGTATACACTTTAATCTTTATTTTCTAGAAGGTTTTAAACATTCTTCAAATGCAAAAAGTATTTTTTACAAATATCATGAATTATATTTATATAGTAATTTATGCATATTCAATATATTTTATTTTTTGTTTTTATTATTAAATAAAAATATGCTTAAATTAATAATAAATACAAATTACAAACTGAACTAACCATGTCTTGTTGTAAAAAGCCATTAAATATTTTATATAAAATATTTTAAGAGACTTCTCTATCTATCTTGACACACACATAATGAGGGTCTTTTATTGTTTTTATTTCTTTTTTGCATTTTGTTGCACTTGATTTTGATTTAGCAGACATATGTTAGGCAGATGGTAATTTTATTATTTTAATAAGGATTTACTTTATTATATTAGGACAGTTCTGTCACTCTGTTATTTTTTATTTTCTCCATGTTTGCATCATCATTGTATGTATGAATTTTTAGCATTTCAATGCTTTAATGTATTTTTGAATAAATTGGTAGGACCAAAAACAAAAGCCTTGTGGTTGACCCATGTATCATCTAGAGCCCGACCGATATGGGTTTTTTGGGGCCGATACCGATATTAGGGAGTAAAAAAAAAGGCTGATATCGATATATCTGCCGATATTCTTTGTGTATATTATAGTACAGTACCAGTCAAACGTTTGGACACTTTCCCATTCGTGTGTCCACACATTTGACTGGTACTATATATAAAATACAGTATATACATAAACGGAATATATATACATAAACACATTTTTTGCAATGATCACTCAAATGTGGTGATGAAACACTTATAATGATGTGACAGAGATACGTAATGGAGGCAGGGCATTTAACAATTTAACAATAAACTTTATTATCCAAAATGAGTCTGACATCAGTGCACTGAACAGTAAAGTTGAAGTTTATTCAACTTTAATTCAATTCAATTCCATTCAACTTTATTCCGTTGAAGTTTATTTCAGTTTTGAACATTCATTCACGGATTTGCGCTACTGTCCTCACACACAGACGAAACTTACTAGAGAAGTGTGAAGTGTGACATAATATACCTCTGTAAATAAATATAAATTCACGTCTCGCGCACTTTAATGCCCTTTGAATGTAACGTGTACGTTCCCTTGGAACTGGAATCATGGCGGAATTTCATGTGTAGTCCACTTCACAGGGCACTTACGGTCGAATAAGCCAAAGCTTGAATGCTGCCTGAACAAGTCCTTACTGAAGTGAAAGTGTTGGCTGGTGTCACTATCTCGCGAACGCGCCGGCGGATCTCCACCAAATTCGGGGGATCCCTTCAGCTCGAGGAGCCCTCTCGAAAGCCACCCTCCGCGCGTCGGTAGCCCCCCGGGATCGCTTGATAGGTCGGCGCCGGACCGCGAATTTAACCACCCGTAACTCCCGAACCCCGGGGGCTATCGACGCGGGGGTGGTCTCATTCGAAAGAGGGACTCGAGACGTACACTCGATTCGCGTTCGAGAGGCCCGAATTTGGTGCGGATTCGCCACGCCTTACCGGAGATATGGCCGTTCAAAGTTTCGATCGTTTTCCATGGACTTAAGCTTTAAAGCGTTTCATCCAGGTCGCCAGTAGCAAACAATGGAGCACGCTCTGCTGGACAAACTAAGTAATTACACCATTTCAAGCATTTTATCTGCGTTATATTTTCTGTAAAAAAAATTTCATATCAGCGACAGGCTCATATCGGCCGATAATATCGGCTAAACGATATATCGGTCGGGCTGTAGTATCATCTGTTGTATTATTTTTAAGAAAATACAGCAGACATGGATACTAAATGTTTATACTCACAGTTTGCAGATGTCAGTGAAGTTGACAAAAGAAGTTTTCTTGGTCCCAACTCGGACCACCTGAGGCGGCTTCATCACAAACTTCCTCTTCTCCCCTGCCACCATATCAGGGTTCTTCTCCCTCATGATGTTAAACACCCGGCTCAACAACTGTAAAGACACAGACATGTAAACAACGAAAGGAAAACTATGTCACAAGCATGGGGTAGAAGTATATCAGATGTGTGAGGAATAAGAAGGATTACTCATCATACCTCATCGTAGGTGTAATCTCTCTCTGAACCGGCCCATGCTGGGCCCGACTGTGAACTGAATGTGATGCCATCTGTGCTTTTATCATCCTCGACAACTGCAGTAAAATATAGGTGAAGAATTCACACAATCAAATATTTAATCATTGCAGATAAAATATTTTTCATGAACTCTATAGTTTCTGGTATTAGAAAATTCATAATTTAAAACAGTGCAATTGTAGTGCATTAAAACCCTTAAAAAGATTTTTTTTTTTTAAATGATTCTTTTCATAAAATTATAAATTTGATTACGTAATGCAGACTTAATTTTATTGCAGACATATGGAACAGAACATGTAGAAGAGTGGCTTGCAAAAACGCAAGATGTAACTGAGCTGCATAATTAGAAAAAAAAAAAAACTTCTTAAAGCCAGTTTTGAGACTGATGTGAATTTAGAGTCAAATTCCTTGTAGATGGCAGCTCTTGATAACTGAAAGCTTGTTATACACACTTTTTCCTTTAACTTCTACCTTTTATTATTCTATAAATAAATACAATTATGCAGCACACTAATTAAATTAAGTGTGTCTTCATACCATCATCCTTTTCCACAGTGTCACTTTCCTCAACGAATTCCACTTTTTTTTGTTTCTTTTTTTTAGCTGGAAGCATCAGATCCAAATCATCTTCCTCCATTTCCTGCTGCTCGCCGTCAATTTTCAGCTCCTGGTCACCAATAAAATGAAGAGTCAACAGCCTTTAGAAGAACTACCCAATACAAGAATATAAGCTCAATGGATGTCACATTAGGAATCATTATACCAGACAGCTAAAAAAAAAATACAATACCAGAAAATGTAATTGACCCACTTTATATTAGGTGACTATGTACTTATGTCAAAAAAGATCATTGTCAGGTACTTAATGTTGCATTGCAAAACACTTCTGATGTGGGACACGATAAAAGTTAGAGACAGGTTTGGCAGTATGGTTAGGTTTACGTGTGGGTTAAGAGGTAGGTGTAGATCACAGTGTAATTATAAATGAACTACAGAAACTAATTACAGATGCATACAGGTATTTTTAAAATAAGTATAATGTAAAAACCTGTATCTACACGGTAAGTGCATTGTTTCATGATTAATATAAATGTTAGTACACAGTAGTTAAAGTTATTAGTAGTTAAAAAATATAAAGTGGGTGCAATTTCTTTAAATAATAATATTAAAGGGTTAGTTCACCCAAAAATGAAAATTAGACCATAAATTACTCACCTTACCCATTACTCAAGTCATCCTAGGTGTATATGACCTTCTTCTTCCAGACGAATCCAGTCGGAGTTATATTAAAAATTGTCTTTGATCTTTTCAAGCTGTTTAATGCCACTCAGCGGGTGTTGCATGCATCCGTCCAAAAGCAGTTAATTAAAATGTGCCCATCCATAAATAAAAAAAAGTGTCTCACACGGCTCCGGGGGGTGAACAAAGGCCTTCTGTAGCGAATCGATGTGTTTTTGTAAGAAAAATATCCATATTCAAAACGTAATAATCACTTTAATCTAGCTTGCGCTAACAGTTGTACACGGAAGCAGCTCCGGGAGGATGACGTAAGATGTCGGCGTTGCGCATGTGCTGGTGAGTCTCGTGAAAACCAACGTTTGTTAACAGGAGCAAAGGAAGCAAAGTTTCCTTACTTTAGCAAAGGAAAACCAGTCTCCTCTTGGCTTATATCGAAATCATCTGACATTCTTCTTTACAAATCCTCATTTTGTACTTCTAATTCATGACCGTTGTTTTGTTTTGATCTC